AGCTAGAGATAGATAGATAGATAGATAGCTAGACGGACATCAACAGATAGATAGGTATATGCACGAACATACAGAACACACTCGCCGCAGGATGACTTCGTGACGTCATCTGGCATTCGCATCTCATTCAGTCGGCAGGCTCGGGGTGGTACTCTCAGGTAGGTTTGTGGTCGGTCCTGTGCGGATCTTGTACCCAGTTTACGTACGTAGTGTGTTTGCGGTTGTCTCGTCTGTTCTCTGCGGACTCATGTCTGTGCAGCCTTCCCTGCTGGCTTCGACAGCTGCTCATGCGTAATTGCGCACATTCTTCTTTCTTTGACAGTCACAATATTTCATCATCCACCAGGCCGCTGTAGACAACATATTGGTCCAATCAGCCTTTTTCCATCGTTTCTGGTCTGCACTTCTTTATCTTCTCAAGTGCGGTGCAGCTTGGAGGTGTAGTGATCAAGCCTCCTCGAAGGGCGGAAGCATCCGCCACCAATCGTTGGAACTGCGGTCAAGGAGTCATACACGGCGATGGGACGTGGTGTTGCTGGCAACTCTTCTTCGCAGTACGAATGGCAGCAGTATGCGTACCGGCAATAGTAACGGCTTAGTAACGGCACATCAATATGAATGGCAAGTGCGAAGGTAATGGCGAGAGCATATGTGTAATAGTCTTGGAGGTATCGATAGCAATGTCAGCAGCAATAGCAGCGGCGGCAGTGGCAGGGGCAGCGGCAGGTACCGCAGCAGTGGCAGTGGCAGCGGCACCAGCAGCAGTAGCAGCAGCTAGTAAAATCTGCATGGTCAAGTTCTGGGACGGTAACAAGCCTCGCATGAGCGCAAGAAGTTGGAGTAATGTCAACTGCAAGAGTAGTAAAGTGGGAGAGCAACGACGATTCAATCGTCATCTATGCCGCTGTAGTATTGGAAGGCAGATGTGGCGGCCGACGTCGACAAACACATCCAGCAACAGCGTAAATCAAACAGCTTCTGTACAACTTACACATAGGCGGACCATACTTGCAATGCGTAGAATACTAGATCTGATGGCAGCATACAGCATGGAGCCGTGGAATATGCGATTACATAGATACAGCCACAACAAGCCGGGGGGGTCCCTAAACCCGAAACCGGGTTTCAAGCAGTGGTGCTATCAAGGCGATGCTCGTGTACAAGGTTACCTTAATTTAATAGTCTACCTTCAACTTGGAGCTCTACCACTCGGGTTTAGGGTGTAGGTCCAGGTTTTAGGGTTTAGGGTTTCGGGTTTAATCCCGCAAAACATTCAGAAGGCCCTGGTTATGCTGCCAGCCCACCCGAACCTCGAAAGCCAAGAAGATTCTTTTTGGAAGGGACCTTCAGAGGTTTAGGGTACTGAAGCCTCAGCCCCAGCGAACCGCGATTCCTACGGTTGATGATATAGATCCTGCATTGCCCAATTCGGAATATACCATAATTCCCATAGGCCATAGTTGAGGGTCCTAAACCCTAAACCCTAAACCCTACTCAACCCTAAACCCCTTAAGCTAATTAAGGTAATGCAGGCTTTATATATCTTCAACGGTACCTCTGATTCCTGAAGCCTATAGGACCTTAGACTCGACCCTTCATGGCATCCCGCAGCCTAGAACCCTGAATCCTATACCACGGTTTAGGGTTTAGGGTTTAAGATTTAGGATTTAGGGTTTAGGGGTTAAAGATTAGTATAGGTTCCTTGATTATTAGAACAGGGTTTTGGGGTATTTTATTTTATAGCTATAATAAGGAACCCAAAAGTTGTACAGGTACTTATTTAGGCGCCCACGTTGTCTCCAGAAACCCTTGCAAAGCCTTCAGGCCAGCGCAGATTCTGCGGCTCCCACTCGCCTCCTGTCAGCCATTGAGCCAGTGGGGCTTTCCCGTGGCTCCCAGTACTTGTTACTCTGTAAAGGGTTATCCCCTACAGTTGGTAGGGTCATAAACTAGCATGTGTAGGGTCATACTCTGCCAGTTGTACGGTTTGGGGCTTCAACAAATCCTAGCCCCTCGACCCCAGCACTCTGATCGGGATGTCGGTCAGTGTACATGGCGTAGGGCTCCCATGGTGCAGTGGTGAGTGTATGTTTGGGGTTTATTTTTGGGGAGCATTGAAACAAGCATCCTAGTTTCGTAGGCTTGAAGGCTTAAGCGTTTGGCGTTTAAGCTGTCGGGTTCTTAAGCTGCTAGGGTTTAGGTTTGCAGGTTGCTGTGGGGACTGGGCTCTCTTTAAAACCCAGTTTTTTTAAAGTATTATGGATATGTTTAGGGAGGGGACTGTTGTCAGGGCCCACGTTTTGTTACAAAATACGTTGGCTGATGCATGGGTTTTTGCAGATCAGTTTTTTGTATCATGTATGTATATTCTAATGTCTTCAAATAGTTCTGAACAAATCCAACAAACTCAAAGCGCTGAAAGCACGGTATACCGAAACGCGGTGTTTATAAACAAACCCTGTGTTTTTAAACAGACCTCGTGGTCTGTAACAACTCAGAGTTGATGTTGTGGTTGGAAACGAAAACGTGCAAGCACGTGCACCAAACGAGCGACCCACTGACACAGAAACCCACAGCCACACACACAACCACTCGAAACATACAACGCCACTGAACATAGTGGGTTGCAAAAACGCAGGCCCCACAACCTCCTCTTCTGTTAGGTTTCTGGTGGTGTTGGTGTTGTTGTTCTGCTTTGTTTGTTGTGGCTTTTCTTGAGCGGTCTCGTCTTTAGGTGCGTAAGGCTTTAGGCTTTTGGGGTCGTGCTCTGTGGACACTTGCAACTGCAGAGTTCTAAAGCTCTTTAGGGTTTAGGGTTTAGGGTTTAGGGTTTAGGGTTTACCTGGAACGCACCCCTCTCCTAACTTGAAGCCCAGTTCCAGCTCTTGCAAAGGCGTGATGTTGTTTTTTTTCCAGGGTTTGGGGAGAACCGCGTGGCACAGACTAAAGCATCACACGAACCGTCTCAGCTTGTTCATAAGGGTCTTGAATGTGGCCATAGCAAAGAAACTACGGCCACATCCTGTTCTGCCCTATATAGGTACTTTAGGGCCAAAGTATATACTATTCGGGTACATGGACCCTTAGGGAAAGTCTATGGACTCTAAGCCCTGAGCCTCAGCCCAGAAGTCGGCACAAGCTGCGAGGTTCAAAGTCCAGGGTCGCAGGCTTCGAGTTGAGAGTTCCGGTTGCTGGCTTTCCATAGTGGCCCGGTTGAGGAAACTGTACACGCTAGACGTCTCCTTGGAGCTGGAGCTGTAAGAAAGACCTGGTGCCATCAGCAAACAGCCCATGTAAGTGTGACCGCGTAGACCGAACCGTCTTGGTAGGGTGTGTGTGTGTGTGTTACCAGCTCAAGTAGTCTGGCTTTGCACGTTTTGAAAAGCATCAACTTATAGAGGCATCCCTAACCTACGACTTATACTGTAGTCTTCGGTCATATGCCATTGTATATCATGTTTTTTATAATCATAATGTGTTGAGAATGGAGCTCTTTAAGCTAGTGGGATTTGACCTGAAATTGTAATGCCACAGTGCCAATGCTCCAAGAAGGCACACGGTAATTGGAGCCCAGCTCCTGCTTACCGACGGGAAGGCCTCAGTAGCATTTCGTCTTAGCTCCCTGAGCCCTAAACCCTAAATCTTGAGCACTGAACCTTAAACCTTGAACCCTAAACCCTAAACCCTAAACCCTAAGCCCTAAACCCTAAATCTTGAACACTGAACCTTAAACCTTGAACAGCCTTGAACCCTAAACCCTAAACCGTCGCCCTCAACTTTTCAGTCCTAAGGCCCTAATCTAAACCCTAATCCCTAAAACTTGAACCCTAAACCCTCAGCCTTGAACCCTGATCCCTGAACCCTGATCCGCAATCCCCAAACCGTTAGGCTTTCTGGCCTTAGGGTCTATGAGGCTTAGAGTTCGGTTCCTTCTCACAGGTTTTTGCAGGTATGCTTTAAGATTTCCATAGGAGTTCTGGACGGTCTAAGGTTTAGGGCATTTCGGGTTTACGGTTTAGGCTTTAGTGCTATATCGGGCTTAGGGTGGCAGCGTTGCTCTGCGCTAAGGTGAAGTCAGCTTCGTTCTCCCCGGTGCCACGCAGGGCGTCAGTGTTGCTGTGCAGGCCTCGTATGGCTGCCGAACTTCAAGGTAGCATTAAGGCTGAAATATGTCCTGACACTGTTCCTTGGGGTTCCAGCATTGAGGCTGAGATGTGTCCGGACACTGCTCCTTGGGGTTGCAGCATTAAGGCTGAAATGTGTCCTGACACTGTTCCTTGGGGTTCCTTATTGTAAGCATACTCTAATATGCCCGACGCCCTGTTGAGGCCCCGACAGTATACCCTAAATCCCAATCCAGAAACCATCCTGCCCTGAGTTTCAAGGGGGTTGGGGGGGTGGGGTATTGACTGTGTCAGGGTTTAGCGTTGGTCGTTTCCCATGAAGGAGTGTCGCAATTGAGGTGCAGGCAGAGAACAAGTCGTGAATCGATTTCGAAACCTCAGATCTTCAACCTAATCCTATGTCCTACACCCCCAAGCTTCAAGTCAGAATTGCCCCTTCCAACAACCACCCTGAAGCCCTAAATACCACAATACAGGAGCCTCATCAAGAAACCTTAGGTCTTCATTAGCCTTCCTTATCTGGATCTTCACAGTTTGGGGAGTAAAGGACCAGGCTTTCTTAATCAGGTTCCCGCATTGGCTCCAAAACCCTAAACCCTAAACCAAAGCCGAGCAACGCTCCGAGCCTCACAGCTCCAATGAGTACTGCGCAGCCGGGAGGCCAGCTTTGACCCACCGGCGCCTGCGGACTCGCCGCCCATGGTGCATCGGCCGTTTAGGGTTTAGGGTTTA